AAAACAAACAAACAAAAAAAAACACTAAATGAATATTGATGAACAGCTTTTATTTTAAATTGAAACATTTCTATTTTCTTTTTTTGTTTGCTTGCTTGCTTTTCAAGACAGGGTTTCTTTGTGTATCCCAGCTGTCCTGGAACTCACTCTGTAGACCATGCTGGCCGGGAACTCATAGAGATGGGTCTGTCTCTGCTTCCTGAGTGCTGGAATTAAAAGCATGTGCCTCCACCGCAGGCTTCTGTTTGCTTATTATTATACTAAGGAACTTTCTTTTGAGGTGGTGAAACAGTCTGGCTATGTAGCCCAGACTGGCTAGAACTTACAGTCTTTCTGCCTTTCCAAGTGCTAGAGTTAGAGGCATGTACCACCATACCATACCTAGCTGAAATGTTCAGTTCAGTAATAAATAATTTAATTAGAGTAACCAGAAAAGCTAGACAAGGGTTTTTTCTTTTTTTCTCTTTTTTCTTCTTTTCTTTAGAGCTGGAGTCGTCTTTCTGTTGCCCAGCTTGTTTTAGAACTCCTAGACTTAAGGAATCTCTGCCCTGTCAGCTTCCCAAGTAGAGGGGACTTAATGTGAATAACACTGCACTAGTTGGTTGAGATTTAGTACGTTTATCTTGGCTGATTTGAGATTAGGAGAGATTACAACTTTCTACTAAATTACTTAAGCCTTGTAATTACAAAGTCTTTAAAAAAAAAAACCAAGGTTTAATCTTTAAAAATATATTTCAACAGATCTGAGATTATAGCTCAGTGATGAAACTCTTATTTAGCATGTGCAAGGCACTAGAGTTGATCCCCAGTACACACCAACGTTTTGTTTGTTTTTTTGTTTGTTTGGTTTTTCAAGACAGGGTTTCTCTGTGTCCCTGGCTGTTCTGGATCTTACTTTGTAGCTCAAGCTGGCCTTGAACTCAGAGATCCGCCTGCCTTTGCCTCCAGAGTGCTGGGGTTAAAGGCGTGTACCACCACCACTGGCCACACCAACATTTTAAAAAAATGCATTTCTGCATTTAAAAGCCTGGTTAGGCTGGTTTTCCTCTTCACTCTTGAAAAAAAAAATTATTAAATTCATTGCCTTGTTTGCTTGTTTCTAGGAATCTGAAGAAAGCAGCAGGTGAAAGTCATCGTCAAGTTGATTTCATTCTTCTATAAGGAAATCTCATTCGGTAAAGCCATTTAAATTAGTGAAACAGCAGGAGCAGTAGTTCAGAGTGGCAGTGGACAAGATACGTGGGCATTGAACAATGACTCAGCCTTGTACTTCCATCAGATTATTGGGAGCCTGTCTGCTCATCATTTCTCATGTTCAAGGTAAATTGATGCTTATTTCAGCAAGTCACGTCATTTCTATGTATGTGAAGCACTTAAACTCCTTCATCTGCTCTCAGTCCTGTTCCTCTGTAAATAGGTCATCCATACCAGCACAGCTCTCCACATACCAGGGAGGAAGCAAAGAACAGACACACTAAAAGAAATTGTAAACTTTGTGTAGACACCTTTTCAAAAATCCTAGCCTCTGAACCATTTTTCTTATCTCTAACATAGGCAAGATACACAGCATGAGATTCGTCTTGTGAGGATCAGATGAAATTAAGTATAAATAGTTTGCAGTTTAGTACCTAAAACCCAAAGCAATAGGTATTTGAGACTGAGCTTTAAAATTCCTGTCTCTCTTAAAATACAACAAAGAATAAGCACAAATAATATTCAAAATTAGTTTATTGTCATGAAAAGACTTTGGGAAATAAATGCACTTTTTTGTCTGTGCTGAGTTCTAAAATTTCTCCATAGGGTATAAGCATTTTATTTGTGGCCTCTGTTGTATACTGTGTGTTCGTAGATCAAACTGGAACTTAATAGTGATGTCTACGATCAGATGAACTTTATTTGCATACAAACTTCCCCCTGAGTGGTTTATTTAGGCAGTATTTTGAACTGAAAAGTTAACATTGCTTTATAAAAGGGTTTGAGATAGAACTCACCACCATCTTCTTCTTCTTCTCCTTTTTTTTTTTTTTTTAGAATTTATTAAATTTGTATGGGGTTGGGTATTTAGCTCAGTGGTAGAGCACTTGCCTAGCAAGCACAAGGCCCTGGGTTTGATCCTCAACTCGGAAAAAAAAAAATGTGTGTGTGTGTGTGTGTGTGTGTGTGTGTGTGTGTGTGTGTTAGTGCACCTACATATGGAGACCAGTGTTGGCGTTGGGTGTCTCCCCACCGATTGTCCATCTGAGAAAGGGTCTCTGATAAACCTGCAACTTGATAATTGGCTAGACTAGCTTCCTGCTATCCCAGCCCCTGGTCTACCATCTTCATTTTCTGAAGGCTTTGGCTTCCTTAGTTGCTATTTCATATATAGTTCTGAATGATGAGGGTTATTTACCCATATGAAGAAATTTGGGTAACAGTATAAAGCTTTTTAAAATATTTGTGTTAGTGCATGAGCATAAAATGAAATCATTGGCTTCTTTGTATTTACCTTATTGTTGCTTTGCTCAGACCCAAAGCCCTCAGCTCAAGCCACTTTATCTGTGAAATACGAGAATACATAATATAGCATGTTAAATTTTATTGATCACTGTCAACTAGAGTTGTCATAATTGTGAAACTAAATTAATAGTACTGTTAATATTTTCTAATTCCCAAGGAAATTTCCACTTAGATAAAGTTTTGTGCTGTTCGGGTCATATATAGATAGTATGGTACACACTTCTTTTTTTAATTCTCTCATATATTACATCCCGACCACAGTTTTCCCTCCCTCCTTTCCTCCTAGTTCACCCCTCACTTTCCTGTTCCCCAAGATCCATTCCTCCTCCTTTCCGTTCATAAAAGAGCAGGCCACCTCAGATATCAACCAAACATGGCATAACAACTTAAAATAAGACTAGGCACATCCCCTCATTACGGGTGGATGAGGCAACCCAATAGGAGGAAAAGGGTCCCAAGAGCTGGCAGAAGAGTCAGAGACAGTCCCCACTCTCATAGTTGGGAGTCTCACACGAACACCATGACATATACGCAGAGGACCTAGGTCAGACACATACAAGCCCCCTGATTGGCAGTTCAGTCTCTCTTAACCTTTATGAGCCCTGCTCAGTTGATTCTGTGGGCTGTTTTCCTGTGGTGTCCTTGACCCCTCTGGCTCCTACAATCCTCCTCTCCCTGTCTTCCACAGGATTGCCCAAGCTTACCTAATTTTGCCTGTGGGTCTCTGCATCTGCTCCCATCAGTTGCTAGATGAAGCCTCTCTGATAACGATTATGCTAGACTCTGGTCTATAAGAATAGCAGAGTATCATTAGTAATCATTTCATTTACCTTTTTTTTTGGGCCAGTTGCATTCAGTTCTATTCTAGGTCTCTGAATTATCCAGCCTCGGGGTCCTTGTCCTCCAAGCAGTGTCAGGCCTGGGCTACCTATCATGGCATGAATCTCAAGTTGGATCAGTTATTGGTTGGCCATTCCCACAATTTCTACACCACCCTTACCCCTGGCACATCTTGCAGGCAGGACAAATTGTAAGTCAAAGTGTTTGTGGCCCAATCCCTCCACTGGAAGCCTTGGTTACAGAAGATGGCTGGTTCAGGCTCCATGTTCTCCATTACTAGGATCACCCTCGTAGATGCTTGGGAGTTTCCATTGCACTAGGTTTTTACCTTGCCCATGAAATGCCCCCAAAATCTAGTCATCTCTCCCAGTACTCTCCCTCAACCTCCCTACCCATTTTCTCCTATTTCCATCCCCACCAACCCCAATCCACCCTCAAAAATCTATTTCCCCTTCCCATGCATTCTTGAGCCTTGAGCCTTCCTTGTTATCTGGATCTGTGGATTGTGGCATGATAATCCTTTGCTTTATAGTTAATATCCGTTTATAAGTGGGTACATACTATGTTTTGTCTTTTTGGGTCTGAGTTATCTCACTCAGGATGATTTTTTTTTTCCTAGTTCCACCATTTGCCAGCAAGTTTCATGATTTTGTTGGTTTTTTTTAACAGCTGAATAATATTCCATTGTATAAATGTACCACATTTGTTTATCCATTCTTCAATTAAGGGACATCTAGGTTGTTTCCAGGTTCTGGCTGTTAAGAATAAAGCTGCTATGAACATACTTGAGCAAATGTCCTTGTGGTATGGTAGAGTGTTCTTTGGGTAAATGCCCAGGAATGGTACAGCTGGATCTTGAGGTAGATCAGTTCCCAATTTTCTGAGAAACTACCATATTGATTTCCAAAGTGGCTGTACAAGTTTGCACTCCCACCAGCAGTGGAGGAGTGTTCCACTTTTTCCACATCCTCACCAGCATGAGCTGTTACTTGTGTTTTTGATCTTAGCCATTCTGACAGATATAAGATAGGATCTTGAAGTCGTTTTGATTTATATTTCCTTGATGGCTAAGGATGTTGAACATTTCTTTGGTTTTTGGTCATTTGAGATTCCTCTGTTGAGAATTCTGTTTAGATTTGTACACCATTTTTAGTTGGATTATTTGTTTGTTGATGTCTGGTTTCTTGAGCTCAAGTTGTTCTGTAGTAAGCTTATATTGGATGGAATATCCTAGCACGAATTACACTTCTGGTTGGGAGTGGTAGCATACACTTTTAATCCCAGAACTCAAAGGCAGAGGCAGGTGGATCTCTGTGAGGTCAAGCCAGCCTGGTCTATATAGTGGGTTCTAGGACAACCAGGGCTGCATAGTGAAACTCTGTCTAAAAAACAAAAACAACAACAATAAAACCAAACAAAGAGTTTACATTTCTGTGCTAAAGAGCAAAATTTATTATATGTCATTTGAAAAAATTATTGCAGATAATTTCTTCTCTGCTATATGAATGCTGTGATTATAAATGTATGCCACCACATCACTATGGGCCACATATTATTTGCTATGTTGTTGTTGTTTAGGGGACAAGGTATTTTTTTATACTATAGCCCAGGCTGGCCTCACACTCATGGCAGTCCTCCTGTGTCAGCCTCCCAAGGACTGGGATTACAGGTGTGGACCACCCAAGTCTGGGTTCCACCACACACATTTGTTCTCGGTGGTGAAATTGATGCTTCATTTTGTTGCTATATTAGGATTTTAGAACCTTGAGTCTTACTGCCTTCCTAAATAAGTGAATACTGGAGAAGTTACATACCTTATAAAGATCATTCACTTATGTAAATTAGGAAGGCTCGCAGTAGACCAGAATATTTCTCTTCATTTGAAGCCTGGTGGATTTCTTCCCTTTTTATACCCTACCATTCTTCCCCCATCTTTTACAGTTGATGTTTTTAGAATGAACGAGGCCTTTTCCATTTTGTAACCATTTGGAGGATAATCAGAAGCTTTGCCATTGTGTTAGCAGTACTTCTTTCTGAAAAGATGTCATGGTGAGAGGCTGAGGGATACATAACTATACAAACCTTGAAGGATATTCCTTCTCAGTATTTGTTTCTATTAGCAAATACTTACTCAGAGATAAATTTCTTTCCTGAATATTAAGTATAAGAAATTTAAGGTCGCCGGTTGCTGGTGGTGCACGCCTTTAATCTCAGCACTCAGGAGGCAGAGCCAGGCAGATCTCTGTGAGTTCGAGGCCAGCCTGGTCTACAGAGCAAGATCCAGGACAGGCACCAAAACAACACAGAGAAACCCTATCTCGAGAAAGCAAAAAGAAAAAGGAAAAGAAAAAAAGGAAGGAAGAAAGAAATCTAAGGTCATTAGCCGGGCGGTTGTGGCTAATGCCTTTAATCCCAGCACTCGGGAGGCAGAGGCAGGCGGATCTCTGTGAGTTCGAGGCCAGCCTGGACTACCAAGTGAGTTCCAGGAAAAGACTCAAAGCTACACAGAGAAACCCTGTCTCGAAAAAGAAAACCAAACCAAAACAAACAAACAAACAAACAAAAAAGATAGAAATTTAAGGTCATTTAAATTCAAGTTATGGTCAAGCAGTGATGGTGCATGACTTTATTTAATTCCAACACTGGGGAAGCAGAGGCAGGCAGATCCCTGACTTGGAAGCCAGCTTGATCTACAGAGTGACTTCTAGGACATCCAGGGCTACATAGAGAAATCCTATCTTGAAAAGCAAACAGATAAGCAAAAAAATAAAAATAAAATAAAATTCAAGTTATGGGATCTCTAGCTCTTACATTCTGCTTTCTTGTTGTCAATGTGTATATATGTGTTATTTTTCTCATTTTAGTAGTTTATCAGTATTGTTAAATTTAAAGTTGAGTTTACAGTACTGATCCACTTCATTTTTATAGTGAATCCATACTTCTCTAATCGTTTTGGCTCTCCCATTCTTCCTTTTGGAAGTGGTTTTGCCTGAAAAAGTCAGTGCCATGTATGTTGTTACCTGTCATTTGAGGCCATAGTGCAAGGTCCTGATTTTATTACACAAGTCCTCAGCAACTTTTACTTTATGATAACATGGTCTGGATTCAAACCACATACCTGGGATGAAAGGTAGATAACAGGATTTGTTTCATGTTTTCACAGTTCCTTACTTAGGCAATTAGACTTCTCTGCAAGGTGCTTAGGGAACTCCCTTTTCACAGAAGCATTTAAAAAGAATTTTTAAAAAAAAAATCTATTTACAGGTTTCGAACCAAAAAATCAGAGCTGGAATCCCCCTCCCACTCCCACCCCCTGGAATCATTGGAAATTTTCTCAGCCTTTCCTGAAACTTCTTCCCATAGTAAATTATAACTGTCACACACAGAAGGCTGGAGAGCCCATTACATGGGTATCACAAATAGGGAGGGGCAGATTCCTCAGTGTTGGCAGCTCTGTACTCCTTAGTGCCATAGACTCACGGGTCAGATTTTCAAAGGACACTCCAGATTCCAGACTTTGAAAATTAGAGGCTTCCTGCTCTCGGAACTCAGATCAGAGCACGCTCTGGGCCTTGAAAACGAGTCCTCAGCAGCTAGTATTGCAGACTTCTAGCTTAAGGCATCAGACCCCTTGGGTTTTAACTCTTGGAAGCTTTCTGAACTCTGCAGCTACCTGGGATCCCTAGCTTAGCTCTTCATGCTTTCTCAGCACCTCAGTGTGTCTGCAGTCCTTCAGAGCCTCAGTAATCTGCCCTGGCCATGTAGAGCTCTTAGCTGCCTCCCAGCTCTTCATTTTGTTTTGGTTCAAAACTTAGGGCTAGCTTTTTTACTTTTCTTTTTTTTAAGTCCTTTATGAATACCTCCATGATAAAGGAGTCTGGAGCAGTTGTGAGGACGAGGCCTCCTGAAGCTGGGTTGTAACTTCAGCAGTAGCAGCGGTTCCAGTGGTCCCTGCAGCTGGTGTGGAGTGTCCTCAGAGGAATCCCTGGAGTGTTCAGAACCGCTGCTCTGTCACAGTGACAGCACTGCTAGTTGTGAGAGAAAGGCCTGCTTATTTGACAGTTCCTCACTCACGGCAGCCAGGCACCAGGGAGGGGTCTGCCAGTTGTCAGTCAAATGGCCAGTTGACTGTTCCAGATAGTTAGCTTATTAAAAGAAAAATCAAAACACTAAAGGGCACTTACAGTAGGGATCTGTCCTGAAATGAACATTCTCAAGAGTGTTTCCCAGTACTTAGCTCTTAGCCAGATACCTTTAGGGAGAGGATTCCTCTGCTCTGTCTCGGAACCATGGACCTTTTGTCATCTGTTTGTCGACCGTGTCCATACACCTGCCGTATCTGGTAGTGCTATATACAGTAGTTTGTAAATTGATGTTAGATGAAATTTATTTTATGATGTATTAACTGCATTTATTATGATAAGGAAACTCAGAAGCTTTCTTCATAGAAGACTGTAATTAAACAACTTTCCAAGAATGATTGTTTACAAATTTTGTTTTTTAATACAGGGCAGAATCTAGACAGTATGCTCCATGGCACTGGTATGAAATCAGACTTGGACCAGAAGAAGCCAGAAAATGGAGTGACCTTAGCACCAGAGGATACCTTGCCTTTCTTAAAGTGCTATTGCTCAGGACACTGCCCAGATGATGCTGTTAATAACACATGCATGTAAGTATTTGCTTCGGTCCTTAAGAGTCGGGGATGAAAAGTACACTTAGACAAGGTTTGTTTTTCCCCTTTATATTGGTAGCTTTCCAAAGAAAGGAAGGATTCTTGGCTTGAATATAGAAATATTATTATCTATCATTAAACAATTGATGATCATTAGTTATATCATGATGCATCTTATTTATTTGTTTTGATTTTTGACATGGTCTCTTTACATAGACCTGGCTATCTTGAACTCATGGAGATCCGCCTGCGTCTGCCTACCTAATACTGGGATTAAAGGCTTGTGCCACCACATCTGGCTTATTTTTCTTTTCTTTCCTGACCTTTTTAATCATGAGCTTAATGGTGCTCATTGTAGAAAATGTTTTCTGTTTTGTAGATTACCAAAAAGAAAACAAAAAGTTTACTCACTCTCCTTAGCCACTTGCATAGATAGACAAGAATGGTGTTGTGATAGTTTTGTTATTTCTCTGTGGCTTCTAGTCCACATCTACTTTATATGACTTTTTATTTCCTGCTTAGTTTTATGTTAACCATTCAGTCCACTTATGGGTCATGTAACTTGAGTTCATATTTTTTAAACCTGTATGTATTGTGTGTGTGCATGAACTGTGTGTAAATGAACATGAAGAAATCAGAGACAACTTGCAGTAGTCTCTTCTCTCCTTCTACTGTGTGGGTTCCAAGAATGGAGCCCAGATCGTCAGTCTAGACAGCAGGCACTTGTGCCTGCTCTGTCGTCCTGTGGCCTATAGTCCATATCTTGGGGCACATTGAAGAATTGACTTTCTGAATCCTCCCTTCCAAAAAAAAAAAAACTGCAATTCAATCTCATCGGTCAATTAATTGTCTTTTTGTTGTAGAAGTAATAATGAAAGCCAAGTTTTGTAGTTTCCTAACATTCTGTGCTCTTTGAATAGACTAGATACAATGCCTTGAACTTGGTCTGTGAAATTATATTAATTTTCCTTCCTACATTTGCTAAGGGAAAAACTCAAGGACACTGACATTAATATGTTTCTTTGAAATGAAGCTCTTCAGTCGGTCTCTCTGCTTTCCTATCACCTTCACTACAAAGTATCTTTCAGAATCTTACTCATCTGTTCTTTCTAAATGTACTTTCCTGTGTCATTAGGGTCTACTGACTTTCACAGAGAAGCATGTTTTCCTCTCTTATCATGTATGTATAGCATGTGATCATGAGTGTGACTAGCAGAGTAGTTACATAACAGCACACACATGGAGCATTTACTTAGTAGAACTCCTTTCCCACTTGACATTGAGTTCTCATTGGCCCTTTAGGCCTTAGTTCAAGCCTAGCACCTTTGATCTAGCTTAAATCTAAATTGACTTTGCTAATAAATCATGTGAGAATGCAATCTAAATGTAAAAAAAAAAACAACAAGGTACTGAAGGCCATATTCAATTCATGTATCTTCAGTTCTTTTGTGTGTCTTTTTAAAATTTTATGTTGATTTATTTGGTGTGTATGTGTGTTGTACATGTGTGCACACATCAGCTTGCCAGAATCAGTTCTTTCCTTCCACCATTTGGGTGCTGGAGATGAAACTCAGGTCTTCAGGCTTGGTGACAGTATCCTTAACACTGCGCCGTTTCTCGCCTTCTTTATCAGACAAAGTTTCTCTGTTTAGCTCAGGGTGACCTGAAATAAATGCAAGATCATCCTACTTTAGCCTCCTGAATGCTAGTATCCCAGAAGTGTACCACCATGCTCTGTTCTTCTAATATAAAATTGTATTTTTTTTCTCTATTGTAGAACTAATGGGCATTGCTTTGCCATTATAGAAGAAGATGATCAGGGAGAAACCACATTAGCTTCTGGGTGTATGAAGTATGAAGGCTCTGATTTTCAATGCAAGGTGAGATCTAATTTGTAACCATGAAATAAAGAAGGGTAGAACTTCGTGAGCAGCATTGAGTCTCCTAGAAGAAGTGGACTGCTGCTCACACTACTATGTGGTCACAAAAACAGATTTGCTGAAGAAAGCCTGGCTTGTTAAGTAATAGGATCTTACTAATTGAAATTCCAGATTGCTTTACTTTAAGAAAGTTTTTAATCATCACAGATGGTGGTTAATGCAAAAAAAATGATAGTCACATTTATTTCTGGATTGTAAGGTTTACTGAAAAGACTGTAAGACAATGGATAGTAACCTTTTTCCCCCTAAGACAGCAATATTAAATCCTTGTTTCGGTATGTGGTGATTTGAATAAAATGTCCTCCGTAGTCTCAGACATTTGAATACTTGATCCCCCATTGTTTGTACTGTTTGGGAGGGTGTAGGGCATGTGACCTTGTTGAAGAAAGTATGTCACTGGAGGCAGGCTTTAAGAGTATAAAACCTCATCTCTGTGAGTTTGAGGCCAGCCTAGTCTAAAGCGTGAGTTCCAGGACGGCCAGGATTACACAGAGAAACCGTGACTTGAAAAACAAAAAGGAGTATAAAATCTCACCTCTCTGCTGCCTGCTTACCATTCGAGATGGGGCCCTCAGCTTGTGCTCCTGGTGCCATGCCTTTCCTGACTCTCAACTCTCTACATCCACCAACCCAGATGAGCTATCGCTCTGTAAGTTGCTTTGGTCATGGAGTTTGAGCACAGACGTAGAAGAACTAATGCAAGGTTTCTGTGCAGCTACTTCACAAGAGCAGCAGCAGAGAGGATTCCTCCAGATTTTTTTAAGTTGTTATGTGTAGATTTCTTAAGAGATCCTGCCAGTGTTTTTGAAAAACAGCTCTGTATAGAACAGTATGGATGTCAGCTCTGTCAGCAATTAGTCCTTCAGGACTGGTGGGTTTCACAGAAACTCAGTGTTAGGTTTATACTTGAAGTCACTGGTCCAGTGGCTGAGATTCTTCCTGTCTCTGACTGTCTGGTTGTACAGACAGACCTGATCTCTCCTTGTAGCCATAGCCTTTTAGCATGCAGGCAGAATTGCTTCCATATGACTTCCTGCACACATCTCTCATCCTTGAAAAACAGCAGCTCACAGTGTCGCCTGCACCTCCTGTAGTCAGTTCTCTTTTTCTGGACGCAGCCATGTGCTTTGGCAGTTGTGCTGTAGTCTCCAGACATTGAACTTGGCCAGCCAAACCCCCGTGTCTTTGACTCACTCTGCCTCCGTGCCACACCTCCTCCACTCCTCACTAGTGATGTTGGTCCTTTGATACAAGTAGATGGGGATTCGGTGGTTTTGTTGCTTATCCTGTATTTGTCTGTGTCATATTGTAACATTAAGATCTGAGAGGATTTGTTTCTTCCAGTTGTATGCCATCAAGATGTTATCAAACATGGAAGCCTTTTTAAACCACTTTTGAGGAGCAGTGGTTACAAGCTCTGAGCTAAAAACAGCATTAACAAGTATCTTATGGACTTCTAGACTAAGTTGACCCAAATTTAGTATAAATTAGTTCTCAAGCCTAACTATCTGTCCAAACTCATGTGCTTCCTCTTAAGAGCAGTGAAATTTTATATCAATGAAGTGACATAGTAAGGGCTTAGTAAATGTTAACATTTACCACATCGTGAGCAGTATCAGGCTGTAGCATATCCCTAGGTGTGCACAGACTGTCACACGGTAGTATCTCAGACACATAGTGTTAAGATGCTACACTTGATTAGTTTCTTTGTTAAGTACTCTTCCTAACAGAGCTTCTCAAGCCCCTTTTCTTCTTCCCTTCACAATGACCATTCTAGTTAACAAATCCTAGACCTGGCACGTCAGAATCTGAAAATTCTACATAGTGCTGTGCTTAGACATGAAATCACCAGCGAAAGGGACATGGGCATATCAAATATGTTGGCATGTTAGGTGGCTGTCAGGTTTTTTGTTTGGAGTCTGCATTAGTTTAGAGAGTGTGCTCCATAGCTTATATGTTGAAATCAGAGGATACATGTTGAATCGTGTCTCCTTCCCCCATGTGGGTGTCAGGCATCTAACTCAGGTTGTCAGGCTTAGCTATTTGTTTTTTAACCTCTTGCTTTAAATTAAATCACTAATTATCAAAGGGAGGAAGGCAAGAAAAATAGTAATGAAGTTAATGCTAAAAACTGTCATTATAGCAATGAGTGATATTATCAAATGAATTGAGTGCCAAGTTTTTAAATCCTGTTTACCCTATCAAGAAATGCTTTTTCTTATGTTAATGTTATATTAAAGGCCTAACTATAATTGTGATATAGCAATAGTAAATTAGCCTTAATGTATAAAAATAGTCAAATAAAATTTAAATACACTTATTTTGATGTGGTGAATTACTTGTTAAAAATATGTTGATGCATAATTAGTGTGGGAATGAGTTCCAGTATAAAATTTCTAGTTATTAGGGCTGGAAAGATATAGCTCAGAGGTTAAGAGCACTGGCTGCTCTTCCAACAGTCCTGAGTTCAATTCCCAGCAACCACATGGTGGCTCACAACCATCTATAATGAGATCTGGTGCCCTCTTCTGGCATGCAGGCAGAATACTGTATACAAAATAAATGGATTCTTTAAAAAATTATAGTTGTTAAAAGAAGCATTTAGGCCGGGCGGTGGTGGCGCACGCCTTTAATCCCAGCACTCGGGAGGCAGAGGCAGGCGGATCTTTGTGAGTTCGAGGCCAGCCTGGGCTACCAAGTGAGTTCCAGGAAAGGCGCAAAGCTACACGGAGAAACCCTGTCTCGAAAAACCAAAAAAAAAAAAAAAAAAGAAGCATTTATTCATTTATATGTTTAAAGTCTGATAATTATCTGGAAGTGATGGCACCCACCTTTAATCCTAGCACTTAGGCAGAGACAGGTGGATCTCTGAGTTTGAGGCCCTCCAGTGTTACATAGTGAGATCCTGTCTCGAGAAAGAAAATAAAAAAGACAATTGGTATCAAATTGCTATGTTTATTTTCTATTTAGTAGACCAAGGAATGATGTATTAATACATTCTTGACTGTGCGTAAATTTATGGTGAAAACTTTAGCTGTCATCCTAAAATACGGGAGTGTATATGATTTTAAATTTTTACTTAAGCTGACTTTGGTGGCACATGCCATTAATTCCAGCACTCAGGAGACAAGATCTCTGTGAGTTTGAAGCCAGCCTCTTCTACATTGTAAGTTCCAGGCAGGCAGGCAGGTAGGGAGGAAGGGAAGGAAGGAAGGAAAAACGCACCTGAAAAGTAAAATCTTACTTAAGGAGTTTAACAAGTACTTTTCTAGCTTCTCTATATTTTATAAGCATCACTTACCTTAGTTAGAGTTACTACTGCTTCAGTGAAACACCATGGCCAAAAAGCAAGTTGGGGAGAAAAGGGTTTATATGGCTTATACTTCCACATTGTAGTTTGTCACTGAAGGAAGCCAGGACAGGAACCTGGAGCCAGGAGCTGATGCAGATACCATGGAAAGGTGCTGCTTACTGCTTGCTTCCCCTGGTTTGCTCAGCCTGCTTTCTAATGAACCCAGGACCACCAGCCCAGGAATGGCACCACCCACCATGGGCTGGGCCCTGCTTCATCAATCACTAATTAAGGAAATGCCCCTGCAGGCTTGCCTTCAGCACAGGCTTATGGGGAAATTTTTTTTTTTCTTTTTTCCGAGACAGGGTTTCTCTGTGTAGTTTTGGTGCCTGTCCTGGATCTTGCTCTGTAGACCAAGGCTGGCCTCGAACTCACAGAGATCTTCCTGCCTCTGCCTCCCGAGTGCTGGGATTAAAGCTGTGCGCCACCACTGCCCAGCCTGGAGAAATTTTCTTAATTGAGGTTCTCTTCTCTCAGATGACCTTAGCTTGTGTGAGGTTGACATAAGACATAAAACGGTCACTATATGTCATAAAACGAACAACACATTCACTGTCATGAACTACTCCTGATCCTCAGGGCTAGCCTCTTGATCTTACTCTTGACGTCTTCTCAGTGCTAGGTATAGGTGAAAGCACGTGTAAATGATTAATTACTACATACTTCATGTTCTTGCTACCTCACTCTACTAGGATGGTTCTGTTGCCCTTGTTCTTGTCATTCGTGTGAGGAATTGTCTTCAGAACCCTCACCCTGTTCCTTGACTCAGCTTCAGTGCATTCTGAGTACTCTCTTCTGCCCAAACATACAGCGTTTACTTAAGCCAGACTCTTCCTTTTTATAGCTGTCAAATAAATTATTCTCTGGGATTTTAATTACTTTATTTATTTTTTATGTGTATAGGTGTTTTGCCTGCATGTATGTCTGTGCACTGTATACATGCCTGGTACCCAATGTGGCCAGAAGAGGGTGTCAGATCCTCTGGAACTGGAGTTACAGACGGTTGTGAACAACCATGTGGGTACTAGGAATCGAACCTGAGTTCTGGAAGAGCATCCAGTGGTCTTCACTGCTGAGGCATATCTCCAGGCTCCCCTCCCTTTCACTCCTCTAAGATTTTTATTCCCTACCTTAGTCTACAAATAGTAAAGGGAGTTGGGTGGAAATGGGGAATGGGGAGGAGTGTAGGAAGACAAAGATGTGTCCCGCATTCCGAAAGCTAGATACTGCCTTTTTTTGTTGTAACCTGTGTAAGAAGGATGGTTCTTACACATGTCTGCTGCTGGTTGCTTATTTGTGGTGTCAGCTCATCAGCTCTTGAAGGGCTGGCTGCCCAAGGGGTTTTTTTGGCTTAGTCAAGACTCTCGCCTGGAATTCATGTCACACTCACCAGAGGAAGAAGAAATCAATTTATTGAATATTTTCTACTTACATTTAGTTTGTAACGAATTTGGTACATTCCTTCTTGTTGCCTCATGGTTATTCTTCTGTAAGGCAAAACTGTTTAATCCAGTGATTTCCAGAGGAAACTAAAGAGAAGTTAGCTACTTAAGGTTATAAAGTGAGTAACTACAAAGCTAGGTAGAGTTTATGCTGATTCTTTCTTTCTTATTTTTATTATACCATGCTGCCTTCTGTCTGTTGGGAAAACTCTGTTTCCTTTAAATGAAGTCATAGGGTATGTGGCTGTCTAGTTTCCCACTCACTGTGCAGAATCTCACAAGGTAGACCTGTCCTTGCAGTTCACACTTGGAAGTGTCCCCTCTTCCTCGCTCCCCAGTTAGAAGCTGTGCCTTCATGGCTTTGGAACGTTGGTGCAGTCTGCTTTTCTTCTGGTAGTCATCCTTGACAGAGAAGACAGAGACAAAAGAGGAATTGAAGATTGGTCTTCATCTTCCATTATGTGTGATTAGTGGGCAATAGTCCATGGTTTAGAGATCTTTCTCCCAGGATTGCCAAAGATGTCTGTCTTTGTTTACAGTCACTTTATCTTCTGCAAAGCTGTCCTCCTTCCACATTCCGGGGACTCAGTGCTTGGCACTTCATTGATTCATCTTCAGTTATACAGTCATTCTTTCCTTCACGCTAATTTTCTCTAGATACGGGATCATTTCAAAGTTTGCAGTATAAACCCTATCATATCTCTTTTCTCTTTATGATAACTTCAAAGGAAAAATTATCTTAAAATCAGTTGAAATGTAGAATTTATTCATTTGGAAATTTCTAAAAAATATATACATATTTTTTTTTTTTTTTGAAAATTTCTGAATGTTGTTGACTGTCTTCCCAGATGGGATTTCAAGCCATAGACTCTTGGTCACCTTTTTAAAAGTAACACCTGATTATACTGAGGCATTTCCCTTCTGACCATCTGATATTTAAGAATAACATAGTTAATTTCTGCTTACATTCTTGCTACCTTCGTAATAATGGACAGGCTCTTTCTATTCCTATTGGTTCAGAGTGGCATTTCACCTGGACAGCACTGGAATGTCAACACGTAATCCCTGACATCTGCTTCCATGACTGAAGCCTTTGCACTTGTTTTCCGATGTTTAGGGCATACTTTCTACCTGGTTGGTGTCCATAACCACCTCCCTTAGCCAGCACCCTACCCCAAATTGATGAGAATACCCCCTGCTTTGTAGTCGGATCTTAATCTCACCTAAATCTTATTACTAATGTGATTGTATTTTTCAGACAAGTTTATGATTCCAATAAAATACTATGTTTTCTAGCAGGTAATTACTTTTTAAAACTAAAAGCAGCTAGCTGAATGGTAATTTAAACATTCCCACATTTTTTTAAAGGTAAAAATTACTAAAATTCTTTGTTCCCCTATAATTTATAATCTAGTATCCTTATCCACCTATATGATCTTAAGGAAAATTGTCTCACAATCTTATTTTCACACACAAAAAATTAAATTTTCAGTAATATTTTTGTTGTTATTTTGCTTTTCAAGACAGGGTTTCTCTGTGTAACAGCCCTGACAGTCCTGGAACTCGATGTGTAGACCAGGCTGGCCCCAAACTCACAGAGATTCACCTGCCTCTGCCTTCTGCCTTCCGAGTTCCCAAGTGCTGGAATTAAGGGTATGAGCCACCATGCCTGGCTAATTTTTTTTTTTTTTTAATGTAAGGTTTGGAGATTCTTTTCTCTGAGTGAATTATAAATTATATTTACCAATATTAAACTATCCATACTCAAATTTAATATGTCAAGTCCTTTAATTTTACCTTTACTTTTCTTGAAGGATTCACCAAAAGCACAGCTACGCAGAACAATAGAATGTTGTCGGACCAATCTGTGCAACCAGTATCTGCAGCCTACACTGCCCCCTGTGGTTATAGGTAGGTCAGCCCAGAGAAGTCTGGCATGGTCCTCCTGACTTCTTGTCTTTGTTTTTAACAATAACGGAGCTACCCAGAACTTAGTGTTGTAAGCCGTTCTCTCCCCCTTTGTAAGATGCAGCAGAAAAATACTATACTTGCTTCATTGCTGACTTCCATTCTCAGGTCCGTTCTTTGATGGCAGCATCCGATGGCTGGTTGTGCTCACTTCCATGGCTGTCTGTATAATCGCTATGATCATCTTCTCCAGCTGCTTTTGTTACAAGTAAGAACATACTGTTTTATATAAAATACCTTGTTAATTATTGTATATTGGCAATCGTTTTTTCTTTGTTTTATTTCTAAGCTAACAGGTAAAAAACACTGACTGTTGTATGCAATTCAGAATCATTAATTTATATTCTCTGGTTACAGCTTTTCAACTGTGTTATGACTTCCCTAGAAGGAAAGATGAACTTGAATTAATTTTTTTGGATACTACTTCATTCTTTTATGTTCAAGGATACTCATGGCTTTCTTGTTTGTAGAATAGTGAGCTTTGTTATGTCTGAATTTTTAAACCAGATTCCTAGATAACGTAACTGTCTTATTTAAAAATTTGGGGAATTATCTGTGAAACAGGTTTGTAATCCCAGAAATAAATCTGTATATAAAGAATTTTACAGTATGATGAAGCTTTCAAATTTAAGAATCTGGAGGAAGGGGGCTGGGGTGTAGCTCAGTGGTAGAGCACTTGCCTAACACACAGAAGGGCTTGCGTTCTAGCTGCAGCAATGTGGTATGAATAAAATGTGTTGAAAGAGGAAACGATAATTCAGCCAGTAGATTTGATACTAGGTTGCTATATAGAAAAAATTAAATTGGGACTATTCCCTACACTGAAATAAATTTGAACCAGATTACACTAGAACTATATATTCATATGCATAGTTTGGAAAATCTTTCTGAGTCTACCTCAGCTTGAAAGCAAGCAAGGAAGTAGTAAATACAATGTAAAGGTAGCGTTAGCTGCATAAAAACAGAAGTGTGTAGCAAAGAAACCTACAGGAGGGTGGGAGATGGAGCAGATGAGAACTATTGGCAGCTAATATTTACTGCAAGTGATAGCTTTACACTCTAAAAAGAGCTACAAATCAAAAAGTGTAGTTCAGCAAAGAAGAGACAAAAATAGATACAATTTTTAAAGAAATATGCGTGGCTTTCTGGAGTTTTTGTTTTTTGAAATAGTCTCATGATGGCTGGCTTTGAACTTGCTGTGTAGACTAGGTTGGTCTGGAACTCATGGAGATCCACCTGCCTTTGCCTTTCAAGTGTTAAAATTAAAGATGCACCCCTTCATTCTCAGCTCTATGACTCTTTTAAAAAAGAAAATAACAAGAATATTCTTTGCTTGATGTGGTGACACACTCGTTTAATCCCAGCACTCAGAAGGCAGAGGCAGGCAGATCTCTGAGTTCCAGGACAGCCAGAGCTGTTACACAGAGAAACCCTGTCAAGAAAACAAACAAACAAACACAGAATATGAAGTATAATATGAAAATTACAAAATTTGAGGTATTTTCGTCTGCCATATGGCCAGATGAAATGAAACAAGACTGCGTGCGCGCGCGTGTGTGCATGCCATAGGTAGACATCAGTTAACTTTTTCCAGTCACTCTACACTGTAGTTTTTCAAACACTGTGTCAAAACCCTAGCCCCTTATTGGATGCAGTCTCTCTTGTTCAGTGCTGGACACAGCAGGCTAGCTGGCCAGTGAGACTCCTGGGATTCTTCTGTCTCTGCCTCCCATCTCCATGTCGGGACACTGGAATCACATACAGATACTGCATCGCCCAACTTTGTATGGTTTCTGAGGATTTGAACTTGGGTCCTCACACTTGCCTGGCAAGTGCTTTACATGTTGTTTCCTCAGCTCTGAAAGAATGTTGTGTGGGACATGATCCAGTACAGTTATAGTCAGAATCCCCAGTTGAGAGGAAGGGACAGGAAGAAAAATGTTTAAGAAATAGTGACCAGGGACTTTTCAAGTTTAAATGAAAACCAGAAACTCGTTCATCTAAAAAGTTTAGTAAACTCTTAAAGATACCAAATATGAAGAAAAATACAAAGCACATGATAATCATATTGTTCAAAATTAGTGCTAAAGAGAAAATTTGTAATTTTTTTTCTAAATTTTTTTTATTTTTGTTTTATATGTATGGGTGTTCTGCCTTCGTGTACATCTGTGTACCACATGTGTGCAGTGTCCTTGGAGGCCAAAAGGGTTGTTAGCCACCAAGTGACTGCTGAGATTTAAACCCAGGTCCTCTGGAAGAGCAGCCCATGATCTTAACGGTCTTTCTAACACCAAAGAGAAAAATTTAAATGCAGCTGGGAAAGGGCAGATTATAGGCTTGGCTGTCCTAGAACTTGCTATGTAGACCTGGCTGGCCTTGAACTCATTGAGCTCAACCTGCCCATACCTCTCCAGTGCTGGGATTAAGGGCATATACAGTTTTAGCACAAAGATAAAAGTTGTAGTTTTAAGAGTGTGTGTATTTGTACATATAAGTGATAAGTAACTTTCTATGCTGAGTATCCTTTCATACTTTTTTTTCTTTTTTTTTTCCCCCCGAGACAGGGTTTCTCTGTGTAGCTTTGCGCCTTTCCTGGGACTCACTTGTAGCCCAGGCTGGCCTCGAACTCACAGAGATCCGCCTGGCTCTGCCTCCCGAGTGCTGGGATTAAAGGCGTGCACCACCACCGCCCGGCCCTTTCATATTTTTTAAAGACATTGTCAAAATTTGTAATTGAAATACTTTTTACAGCTGTGATGCCATGTTACATGTGGGGCATTTGGGGGTTTTGTTTACCTTTGATTTGGGAATAGAGTCTTACCACATAGCCCAGGCTGGCCTTGAGTTCAGGATCCTCTTGCCTGACTCCCTAGTGCTACCTCATCTGTCCCCTGGGGCGGGGGAGGGGCAGGTATGTGTGAATGTGTTGGTATTTTTGAGACAAGGCTCGCTTCATAGTCCAGGCTTGGTTCTGTAGCCCAAGCTGCCTTAATCTCCCATTTCTTCTGCCCCCCAAATGCAGGGTTATTGATGTATGCCGCCACACTCTGCTGCGCTGTGTGTGTGTGTGTGTGTGTGTGTTCACTTGCTAATAGACTGTGGCCATCTCTTCATGTGTTTTGTTTGTTTGTTTTGTTATTTTTTAGTTTTTCGAGACAGGGTTTCTCTGTGTAGTTTTGGTGCCTGTCTTGGATCTCTCTCTCTCTCTGTAGACCAGGCTGGCCTTGAACTCACAGAGATCTGCCTGGCTCTGCCTCCCGAGTGCTGGCATTAAAGGCGTATGCCAACACTGCCTGGCCATCTCTTCATGTTAGTGGGGCACACAGCATTCTACCTCATAAACTCCATTTCTAGTGGACTATAACAGAATTTTTTCATGTGCTGAAGATTGATTAGGCTATGATTCTGCCTGAAGGAATGATGGTGTGGCAAGTCTTGAGGCTCAGTGTCACAGTGTTCCCATTTTAATGTAGGTTGTTTTCTACTTTCTTAAAGACATTACTGTAAGAGCATCTCAAGCAGAGGTCGTTACAACCGTGATTTGGAACAGGATGAAGCATTTATTCCGGTAGGAGAATCATTGAAAGACCTGATTGACCAGTCACAAAGCTCTGGTAGCGGATCTGGACTACCTTTATTGGTAAGCTAAAAGCCTTTTACAACTGTAAATGTAAATGGTGTATTGATACAGATGTGATGTCACTGATAAGTGGGCATCTTAGTTACTGCAGATTAGGAAACAATAGACACATTTTTTCATGTAGTAATGAAAGATGAAATTGGTTAAAAATAAGAAATGTGAACCAAGGAAAATAGGATAAGCAAGATAAAGCCATAGTAAGAAAAAAGTAATACTTACATAAAAAGGTTAGAATAATAAAAGGTTAGGATATGAAGTCCTGTGTAAGTGCAAGGTAGCTACATAATTTGCTCTAAGCTCCCCGCTCCCCCTTCCACTTTGGTGCTGGAGATTGAGCTAAGAACCTTGGGGATGCCAGGCAAACATTCTACTACTAAACTACATCCTCAGCACTTGGTGTTTGAGACAAGGTTGTCTTGTAGAATTCAAGCTACCCTTGAACTTGAGATCCTTCTGCCTCTGCTTCTGTTTCCTAAATGCTGTGGTTACAGGCATGAGCTACCATCCTCAGCTAGGTGTTGTAAGTATTTTAGTAACCAACTAAACAAAGAAACGAGTGTAAGGTTACTTGTATCTTTAAGGCTAAACTAATTGGCTGAGAGAAGTATAACATTTAGGTCTAAAAAGGGTTACAGATAATTCGGGTGGATGGGTGGATGGAGAACAGCATTCTGAGGGAACCCTTGTAATCACAATGCTACATTTTCAGGTAGTTTTTTTTAACTATTTGATAGCATTAATTAAAAGTAAATACTTAACGACAATTTAAAAATTTGTCTAAAGTAATCTGTGGTAGAATTGGAAAGGTGAGAGTAGAGGTATCTTTGTATGCAGATAGTGTGATTATGGAAAAAAATCCCAAGATTGGTACATGCAGGCCTGTTACAACCAATGCTTGTCAGTTTGCAGAATACAAAGTCATTATTTCAGTTTTACTGATTTTATATATACTGGCAACATGTCTGGAAACTGAAAGTTAAGAAATAGTATCATAGCCGGGCGGTGGTGGCACATGCTTTTAATCCCAGCACTTGGGAGGCAGCAGCAGGTGGATCTCTGTGAGTTCAAGGCCAGCCTGGTCTACAGAGGGAGTTCCAAGAAAGGCGCAAAGCTACACAGAGAAACCCTGTCTCGGTGGGAAAAAAAAAATATCATTTAAAATATATCAAGAAGCATGAAATATTTTTGAAATAATCATTGCAAAATTTGTACATTGGAAATTATTGTTGAAATACTAATTATTAATGTTACTTATTCTTAAGAATTTTTAAAGTACATTGTTTTCTACTTTTTTAAAGAAATTACTGTAAGAGTATCTCAAGCAGAGGTTGTTAGAACCATGATTTGGAACAGGATGAAGCATTTATTCCAGTAGGAGAATCATTGAAATTAAATATTAATTCTTAAATATTCTTAAGACCTAAATAGATAGAGGTATATAGCCTGTTTATGGATGAAGCATTTATTCCAGTAGGAGAATTGGTGAATTAAATATTAATTCTTAAATATTCTTAAGACCTAAGTAGATGGAGGTATATAGCCTTTTATGAACTGAAGGCAGCACAACTAGGATGTCAGGTTGCCTCACACTGAAAGGTTGTTTCATTTCAGTCCAAATAGAAATCAGAGTAAACTTTTACAGAAATGGATGAACAGAATTATAAAAATGCAGAGGACTAGATGAGCTGAGTTGTTAGAAAAGAATGCAGGACTAACCACATGGCTTCTGAACTTACTTTTAGAGCTGCGCTAGTTAGTATAGTATATTTGGTGGGACAGAGCACAGCCTAGAAAGGGACACGTATACAAGAGTGTATGTGCATGGGTGTTTTTGCCTGCATGTATATCTGTGAACCATTTATGTGCCTGGTACTCAAAGAGGCCAAAAGAGGGTGTCTGATCCCCTGAAGTTAGAGTTACAGATTGTTGTGAGCTACCCTTAGGTGCTGGGAATTGAACCCAAACCCTTTAGAAGAGCAGCCAGTGCTCTTAACCAGTGAGACATCTCTCCGACCCAATCAGTTGATTTTACTGTTTGTTGTTATTGGAGGCGCTGTCTATGTAGACCTGGCTGATCATGAATTCAGAGAGATCAGCTTGCCTATGCCTGGGAGTACTGGGATCAAAGATTGTGCCACTGATCATTGATTTTTTTTTTATTTTCATTTATTTTTATTATTTTGGCTTTTTGAGATGGGGTTTCTCTGTGTAGTCCTGGCTGTCCTGGAACTCCCTCTGTAGACCAGGCTGGCCTTGAACTCACAAAGATCCACCTGCCTCTGTCTCCTGAGTGCTGGCTTGCAGCACCACCACCAGGTGCCCTCAATGATTTTTAAAAGATTTTGTTATAAAAGGTTACATGAGGCCATTATTTGTTTAAAGTACTGAAGTATTTCAGTGTTGAATAACTTGTTTGTTAAACAAATGATGCAGAGAAGAAAACCTCAGGTGTCCATTTGCTACAAAGTGAATGTGTTCCTGTACCTCACTCAGTATACAAAATTAAGTTGAAATGGAGGGTAGATATAAATATAAAAGTTAAACTAGAAAAACCTCCGAAAGAATTTTTTAAACTAATCATTGTGAGTTCACGGACAGCCAGGGCTGCATAGGAAACCCTGTTCCAAAAACCAAAAACAGCAACAACAAAAAAGGATGAGAATCAAAAGATGAATCAGGGACTAAATAGATCTGATAAATATACAGACTATACAAAGAACTTGAACAGCTCCATAACAAGACAGCTCAAATTTTTTTCAGTGGACCAAAGATTTGAACAGATACTTCCCTAAGATTAAGAATGACAGGGGCTGGAGAGATGGCTCAGAGGTTAAGAGCACCGACTACTCTTCCAGAGGTCCTGAGTTAAATTCCCAGCAACCACATAGTGGCTCACAACCATCAATAATGAGATCTGGTGCCCTCTTCTGGGCGGCAGGCATACATGTAGGCAGAACGTTGTATACGTAATAAATAAATAAATCTTTAAAAAAAAAAAAAGAATGACAGATACACAAACACATCTGCAATGTGTGTTTGTTAATGTGCAGGTTAAATTGACCAGGGTAGTGCTGGGATATAGATTATCTTGAAATTTTGTACATAGCTGATTAAATGCAAAATGATAAGGCATTTTGAAAAATAGTTGAGAGTTTACTAACAAGTTAAGTATATACTTTGTTTTAGCCTCAAACTCAGAGATGTGCTTGCCTCTGCCTCCCACATGCTGAGGGTGTATACAGTAAAACATTTCTGCTTTTTGGCCTAGAGAAATTAAAAGTGTGTTTACACAAAAGACCTAAAGGTGACTGTTCATAGCAAATATAGTCTAAGAAGTAAATTAGAAATAGCCTAAAAGCCCACCAAGTTGGCAAATGGATAAACAAATAACACACTCATCAGTATGGAGAAACAAATCAGTAACAACAGAGATGAATTTCAAAGACACTTTATGCTGAGGGGAAAAAAAGCCAGATATAGAAAACTGTAAATAGTATGTCTATTTACATGACTCAGAAAAGGTAATACTCCAGGAACAAAACAGGTAAAGAATGCCAGCACAGCCAGAAGGAGTTCATCACGAAAGGAGGAAACATTCCTAAGTCTTAAATGAGATTTTGGTAATTAGATGACTAGGCATTTATCAGTATTTACTGCTCAGTTTTCAAAATGTACACTTATTTTATATATAAATTATACTTGAATAATCCTGACTTTAAAATATTACAGAAAGAGTCTATGCTAAGTGATTTATGATGTAAACCATTTCAGCTTTGCATAGCTCCAGCCTCAGATACACACTTCCAGCCAGAACATCATGTTCTTTTTCATTTAAAATTACTAGTAGTCTGAAAATGAAAGACACAGTATATATGTACTTCAGGTATTATTCCCAACTTCTACCTATGGCCTATGAGCCAGGAATAGAATTCAAGCGAAGGTGTATAAAAAGACAAAATTGTAATTCGGACCGGTATAGCCAGTGAGAGAGTGAGTGAGTGAGAGAGAGAGTAAAGATGATAAAGTAAGACAAACAGCACTATATAGAAAATTGGGCCTGCAGCAAGAGCCTCTAAGAGGAATAACTGAGTGAATTATAAGCACTGGGGAGGCAGAGGCAGGCAGATCTCTGAGTTTGAGGCCAGCCTGGTCTACATAGTGAGTTCCAGCAAAGCCAGGGCTGTTACACAGAGAACCCTGTCTTGAAGAACAAACAAACAAGGGGCTGGAGAGATGGCTCAGAGGTTAAGAGCACTGACTGCTCTTCCAGAGGTCCTGAGTTCAGTTCCCAGCAACCACATGGTGGCTCACAACCACCTGTAGTGAGATCTGGCACCCTCTTCTGTACACTTAATTGATTAATTAATAGCAAAAAGTTAGAATGGAGCTTGAGGATTTGTTTGGAGGTTCTAGCAGGAGAGCAAAGCTATTTCTATAACCTTCACTGAAGACCATTCCTCCTCTATCTGGGGACGTTTTGAGAGAGATCCACATGTAGTGTTGAGAGGGGAAGGGAATACCTGCCTGGTCATCCAGATCAGCTGAGTCAACCCTAGCAATCAACGGACCGATAGATGTCATAACCAGATCACCCTCGCATTCAAAAGATTCAGAAATGGTGCATGACTCCAAGGACATAGTATCTTCCAGACACAACAGGACCAATACACATATGAACTCATAAACTATGGTAACATGCACAGCTTCAAACAAGACAAAATCCCAGCACTGAGAAGGGGAATTAGACACATAGTCCCACTTCCAACCAAAAAGGATCTGGGAGGAATTTGGGGAGGGGAAAGAATGAGCAAAATATGCTGTATGGAAAAAAAATTGAATTTAAAAAAAGGAAAGTTGGAGTAAGGGAAGTGTAGGTAAATAGTGAAAACTGGGGCTGGGTCAGATCATCTAGGACTGATCATCTAGACTCAGGTAAGGGTTTAATTATTTATAGTTTGTATAGTAACTTACCCTAAACTCAGTGGCTGGAAGACAAAAATATTTATTATTTCTCATGACTATGAGTCTGTTGGGAAGTTTTATTTCTGGACTTGCTCAGCTACTGATAAGCAATAGAGCTTGTATATAGGATTGACAGTTGACATAGCACTTCTGTCTGTGGGAGGCAGGGTTCCCAGGAGCAGAAAAGAAAGGACAGGTTGTGGTACACAAGCATCTGTGAAGTCTACTGGTCACACATTTGCTATTCTGTTGCCCAAGAGAAATTAAGTAACCAAATCCCAAGTCTGTGGGGAAGGAGACTTCTCAAGGGTGGCTGTGTGTGATTTCAGTATTCATTATTCATTGCTGCTTTTAAGTACTATAAATTTAAACATTGGAGTTAATATATTTGCATTGGAGCTATTTGGACATGCCAGCCTTTTTAATGGGATGACCTATCACAGTTTAGTCAGCCTTAATAGATTCTTTTTATAAAGAGCTCAAAACTGTACTTCTTCTTTCCTGTATAGGTTCAGCGGACAATTGCCAAACAGATTCAGATGGTTCGGCAGGTTGGTAAAGGCCGTTATGGAGAAGTATGGATGGGTAAATGGCGTGGCGAAAAAGTGGCAGTCAAAGTATTTTTTACCACTGAAGAAGCTAGCTGGTTTAGAGAAACAGAAATCTACCAGACGGTGTTAATGCGTCATGAAAATATACTTGGTGAGTGTCCTTTGCTTTAGTTTAGTTCCTCATTCTGGCAAGGGTGTTTGGGTCGGGGAGAGCCTGCAATGTGCGTGTGGATTCTAATGTTTGTGTAGGTAAAAGAAATCCAGCAGAGTTCATAGTGAACTAGAACACAATCCTGAATGCCAAGCAAGCTTTTTATTACTCTAAATAGCATTGGGTTTCAAAAGGATAGTAAAGCTAGTTCATTGAACGTACATAGTAATGGAAGCCAAGTCTTTTGTAGAGAACTTCAGTACTTTTTCTAGGGTAACCCCCACTCTCCACCCCCGGAGCTGAGGACTGAACTCAGGGCCTTCAAGCGCTCTATCACTGAGCTAAATCTCCAACCCCTTTCTAGTGTAACTTTAACTGCATCTGCCTTTAGCTTTTGTGAGCAGAAGAACCCCGTGTGTGGCTTCGTTGTATTTTCTGCCCCCATGTCTTCCTCTCACTTCCTTACCTCATTTATACAGTAGTGAAATAATGTAGTTACCTGATCAGTAGAGTGTATAAATGGACCTCGTTTTCCTGAGTTTTTCAGCTCCTATTGCACTATCTCTTACTTTGTAAAGTCCATTGCCTGTTGCCAAGCACAGACATTTATGCTCATTTCCTACTGCTCCTGTAAAAAATTACCATGAACTGAGTGGCTTAAAACATCAGAAATATGGCCGGGTGTGATGGCCCAAGCCTTTAATCCCAGGCTGAGGCAGATGGATTTCTTGAGTTCAAGGCCAGCCTGGTCTCCAGAGTGAATTTCTGGACAGCCAGTGCTACACCAAGAAACCCTGTCTCTAAAACCACCCCCCAAAAAGAAAACAGGAAAACAGCAGAAGCAGAGTGGGGAGGTGGCTCTTGTTGAAGGAGTTGCCTAATAAGCCTTACACATGAAGAGCTAAGTGTGATAGAGGGCAAGCTCACAGTGATGGTGAGGTATGGAAGGTGGACACAGGTGGATCCCTGGAGCACTCTGGCCAACTAGCCTAGCCTACCTGTTGAAGTTCTGGGCCAATAAGACAGCAGAGGAACACCACCTAAGGCTGTCCCCTGACCTCCAAAGGCGCTTGCACTCACGTGTATACACATGTATACACCCACACACAGAAGGAAAACAACCGATTATCCCCCTTAATTTTAGGATCCAGAATTTTACAATTAAGCTGTTGGCAGGACCATTCCTTCTCTGGGGTTTCTTCCTGACTGTGCCAGTCTTGAGTGTTCTTTGACGTACAGACAACTGTTGTGGGTTGTTTTTTACTCCTTGGCAGCGGGCCTGCTGCCCAGCTCCCAAATCAATACATGAAGGCTTATTCTTCTGAACACCCGGCCCTAGCTTGGCTTGTTTCTAGCCAGCTTTTCTTAACTTCAATTATCCTGTCTATCTTTTGCCTCTGGGCTTGCATCTTTCTCTATTCTATATATCTTTCTTTACTTTATACTCCATGGCTTGCTCTGTAGGTGGGTGGCTGGCCCCCGATGTCCTCCTCTCCTCATTTTTCTTGCTCCTCTATCCTCTCTTCCCAAATTTCTCCTCTTATTTATTCTCTGCCCACCATCCCCGCCTGTCCTTTCTCCTACCTTTCTATTGGCTGTCCAGCTCTTTATTAGAGCATCAGGTGCTTTAGACAGGCAAAGTAACACAGCTTCACAGAGTTAAACAAATGCAAGCAACATAAGAGAATGCAACACATCATTGCATCATTAAACAAATGTTCCACAGCATAAGAGAATGTAACACATCTTTGATTAATATTCCACAACAGACAACCCCCCTTTCTATGTTTCATATCTTCTATGTGTGTTGTGACCACATTTCCATCATACAGGACACTCGTCGGCTAATTTGAACCCAGTCTATGTTGTATGTTCATGGCTTCATATAAATACAATTCCACCTACAAAGATCCTGTTTCCCATGTAACTTAAAGTATCTGTTTTTCAACCTGAAATTAAGAACTTTGATTTTGGGTGTTCAGGGGTGGGGTTTTGTTTTGTTTTCTTTAGACTCAGTCTCACTCTGTAGCCTTGGCAGCGAGCTCAGCCTGTGCAGTCCTCCTCCTCCTCCTGACACTGGGATCACAAGCAGGGCTGTCACTCCTGGGGAAAGCCGTTTCAGGAGAAAGTCGTGGGGAATTGCACTTGTGGGCTACTATGTAATACGTGACTTCTCCTCCTCCTCCTCCTCCTCCTCCTCCTCCTCCTCCATCATTATCCCTTGTGATTAATGTTAGGATTATCACAAATTAGCTGTATGTGTTGGCACAGGCATGTAATCTCAGCACTTAGGAGGCTGAGTCAGGATGATCACAAGTTTGAATGTCACCTGGACTACATAGCAAACCCTGTTTTTAAAAATACTCTGAATTTGGACTGGAGAGAGATGGCTCAGTGGCTGGAGTGCATGCTGTTCTTACAGAGGACCCGAGTTCAGTTCCCAGCACCCACATTAAGAAGCTCATGACTGCCTGTAATTGCAGCTCTAGGGGACCTGACACCCACCTGACTTCCTCCTCCACAAACACAACACACACAAAAATTTACTGTACAACTGTAGTGACACTACAATACGTAGTGACATATGAAATGATTTTTTTGGTTACACAGTCAAAACATTCTGTGTGTCAAATTAGGAGAGTACTGTCTGTACAGGGTAAGTAGTTCATTTCCAGTATCCTGAATGTGCGTCTGTAACTGCCTCGCACCTCTGCTGACAGCTAACCTTTCAAACTTATTAACTGAACAGGTTTTATAGCTGCAGACATTAAAGGCACTGGCTCCTGGACTCAGCTGTATTTGATTACTGATTACCATGAAAATGGATCTCTCTATGACTTCCTGAAATGTGCCACATTAGACACCAGAGCCCTACTCAAGTTAGCTTATTCTGCTGCCTGTGGTCTGTGCCACCTCCACACAGAAATTTATGGTACCCAAGGAAAGCCTGCAATTGCTCACCGAGACCTGAAGAGCAAAAACATCCTTATTAAGAAGAATGGAAGTTGCTGTATTGCTGACCTGGGCCTGGCTGTTAAATTCAACAGGTAGATGACTTTTTGTTCAACATTTGGGAATTATTTTGGCATCTGGTGGGTGTTTATACTCAGGGTTGCTTTGGGGTCTTTTGTTTGTGTTTGTTTTCTTTTCACAAAGCTGCATTTCACTGTACTTTTCTGGGCATTATTTGGGAATGAACCCAGGATCCTATGTATACTAAGCACACACTGCTACCAAATCACATCTCCAGCCTCTACATAATTATTGATTTCCTGGTTTTCATGCTTTTATTTCAGTTTACCTGTACTTGCTCTTTTTTCAGATAGTCCATGTTACATATAAGTGACTTGTGACTGTAGCTAGAGTTTTCCGCCTTGCCCACAGTCAGGACAAATCTCTGTCACCCGCCAGTCCCACAGCCTATCAGACCCAACCAAGTAAAAACAGAGACTTATTTTGCTTACAAACTGCATGGCCGTGGCAGGCTTCCTGCTAACTGTCCTTATCTTGCTAACTGTGCTTTTATCTTAAATTGATCCATTTCCATACATCTATACCTTGCCATGTGGCTGGTGGCTTACTGGCGTCTTCACATGCTGCTGGTCATGGCGGCGGCTGCACTGTCTCTGGTCATGGCGGCGGCTGCAGCGTCTCCTTCTGCCTTTCTGTCCTTTTATTTCTCCTCTCTGTTAGTCCCGCCTATCTTTCCTGCCTAGCCACGGCCGATCAGGTTTTATTTATTAACCAATCAGAGCAACTTGACATACAGACCATCCCCCAGCACAGCCAAGTGCAGACCATCTCAAACACCTGCACTCAGGCCCATGGTCCTAATCATCCTCTATACGGACCTGCTGGGTAACGCCACAAAGAACCCAAGAAGGGCTCCCACAGGACAAACAGAACATCCCACAGCATGTGACCCAAATATTCGGCATTAAGTTTGCTTCAGTTCATCTGTATTCAAAAAGATTTGTGAAACTGGGTGGTGGCACACACCTTTAATCCCAGCACTCTGGAGGCAGATGCAGGCAGATCTCTGAGTTCTGAGTTCAAGGACAGCCAGGGCTACTCAGAAATACCCTGTTGGGGAAAGAAAAAGAAAGAAAGGAAGGAAGGCCAGTTATCATGAACATTATTCTACTTTTGAGCACTTGGATTAGTATTTTCTTCATAATGGATTTCTAGAGAAGGGAGCCTCCTAGAGGAGTTTCCACATACTAACTTGTGGCATATTGTATAGTACTGCTTCAGAACAGTATAGTATATGAATTTATACTCCTGCAAATATGGGGAGATAATTAGTTTCTTTTGATATTGTTAATTTTCCAAAACAATTAGAATTATAAAAATTTCAGGAGCTAGGCAGTGGAGGCACATGTCTTTAATCACAGCACTTGGGAGGCAGAGGCAGGCTACAGAGCAAGCTCTACAACAGCTAGAGTTCACAGAGAAACCCTGTCTCAAAAAATCAGGTAACTGTTGAAGCAGTTATAATGTAGTCTAAGAATGGAGTCGTCATTTCACATTTCAGAATTCATTTAAGGCCACAAAATAAAAATAGTACTTGAAGGACTGAAGAGATGACTTAGCAGTTAAGAGCACTAACTATTCTTGCAGGGACCTGAGTTTGGTTCCTAGCACCCAGATCAGGGGATCTGGCTTCCATGGACACCTGCACTCATTTGATACACATAAACTCATGCAGGCGCACATACATGCATATAAATAATAATAAATGGGGCTTGTTTTGAGGCAGGGACTCACTCTATCACCCTGGCTGGTCTGGAACTCTATGTGAACCAGGCTGACCCAGAACTCACAGAGATCTGCCCACCTCTGCCTCCTGAGTGCTGGGAGTAAAGGTGTGCGCCACCACCGCCTGATCTTTTCTTTTTCTTTTTTAATGCTTCACAAATTTGTCATCTTTGTGCAGGGGCCATGGTAATCTGGTAATCTTCTCTGTCACTGCAGTTTTAGCTTATGTGCTGCCAAAGCAAGCACCGCCAACAGTGTTCGTGATCAGTGTGGTATTTGTTGGCTTCAGTATTCGTCAGATGCTGTGTTAGTTCTTCCTAGTTACCTGACAAAAAGCAACTAAAGGAAGAGAAGGTTTGATGTAGTTCATGGTTGAAGGGTCCAGTCAGTCCATTGTGGCAGGAGAGCGTGGTGATGGGGACCTAAAGTGGCTTGTGACATCGCATGCAGTCAAAAAACTGATACTTGACTTGCTTTGAATTTTCCCCTTTTTATTCAGTCTGGGCTCTAGCTGGTGCTGCCCACATCCAGGTTGGGTCATCCCTCCTTATTGAAACCTCTGGGAATATCCTCAAAGACACATACACCAGAGTTGTGTGTCTTCAGTGTAAGATCCCAAGTCCATTCACATAGACAGATAAGCATCACAGAGCTGCTTCTTACCAACTTGATACCCAAACGCGTGATATTTAGTCCATAATATTCCACCCTTGATTATCAACGTTCAGGATTTACCTCATGGTAGTCATGCAAAATGGATTTAGCTCTCTGTAAGAGTCCCTAAAGTCTTAACAGTTCTAAAGTTGCTCAAAGCCAAGGTTCAGTGCAAGTTGTGATGGCACACACTTCTAATCCCAGCACTCGGAAGGCAGAGGCACATAACAGAGAGAGCTTGTCTCCCAAAAAACCAGCAAAATCATATAAACAGAGCAGCAACAATAACAAAAGCTCAAGGTCAGAGTTCTCACCCTTGGAGCAATCCCTTAACTGTGAGCCCTTATGAGATCAAAATTAAGGTAGACATTTCCAGTATACTGTGTCACAGAATAAACATCTCCATTCCAAAAGGAAAGAATACAAACGTAGCAAGGAAGCTAGACCTTCCTTGCTTGACTGGAACCAGAACATGCACTTGGCCTGCAGCTCAGAGCTGGTGCCTGACATTTGTGGTGGCGTCATCTGGGCGCCCGTGAACCTGGGTATCCCCATCCATCTTGTCTTGCTGCCTGCAGTAAATGTAGCCTCTCTCTTAGACTGGTTCTGTTTCATGCTTGCAGCTTTTCTTCAGTGGACATTCATAGGCCTAGTATCTCCAACTTCCTAGATCTCTTCTTCTAGGAATTCAACACTGCTGCAGCATTCTTTTGAAGAACCTTGATAAAGCCTCCATGGCCATATAACTTTTGCATCTGGTTAGGCCTGCTGAGCCACATGGTGATTCAAATGAATTCCTCTGCTTTCTCATCACTTAGCCTGGCCCCATTCTGCCATAGTCGTACTTGGCCTGACTGAGCCTTGGCAACTCAAACTGGGAAAATTCTTTTCTGTAGGATCATTTTGGAGCAGGGTTAAATAAAAAATTTTCCTGAAGCCATACTTTTCTAATTAAATAGATGATTCTGTAGTTAATAGTTAATTGCAAGTTTGGGTTGTGCTGTGGGATAATGCTTTGTACACTGGTTTAATAAAACACTGATTGGCCAGTAGCCAGGCAGGAAGTATAGATGAGATAAGCAGATGAGAATTCTGGGAAGAGGAAAGGTGAGTAAGGAGATGCCAGCCTGTAGCCCACGGAGCAGCATGTAATGGCACACAGGTAAAGCCACGGAACACATGGCGACATATAGATTAACAGAAATAGGCTGAGTTTAAGTGTAAGAGGTAGTCAATAGTTTGCCTGAGCTAATGGCCAAGCAGTTTTAATTAATATTAGCCTCTGTGTGTTTACTTGGGTTTGAGCGGCTGTGGGACCGGCAAGAGAAAGAGATTTGTCCGACCACAGGCCAGGCAGGACACAGGAAAACTTTCAGCTACAGGGTTGGGAAATTTTAAATTCATAAATGTATATTATATATAGTATATTCATAAATATGTTATGTCATATATGCAATAATTTATTTTTTAATTATACAATCCCTGAAAGACAAAATTTAATCACTGTCAGTGGCTCCCTGACTCACAGAAGCTAGACTGGTTTTAATTAACCGAAGCAAGACTTAAGTGAGCCAGTTCTTTACATGAAAGTTCATATCAGTGTACTAAAAGGTTATGATTTGTGGAATAGTGAAGACAGTTCATGGAAATGTAATCATATGATTAGGCACCTTGGCAGTTTAGGACTTGGCTGCCATAAATGAGTGAGCAAAATTTTTATTATAGTGTAAATTATTGACCTGCATGCCTTTTTTTTTTTTTTTTTTTTTTTTTTTTTAAACTTAAACTCATTCTTTTTATATACATTCTACCTTTTTTGTGTTTGTATTGGTTCAGCAGAAGCCAGGAAAATAATTTTAAGTATTGGAATGTTGTCTAACTTTGTATTGTTAACTTTATTGTGTATAATGGTGAACAGTGCTCAATAGTTTTATACTCCTTTAAAAAATAAGCAGAGTCCAGAGAGATGGCTGAATGGGTAAAGGCACTTGCCGCCAAGCCTGACAATTTTATCCCTGGAACCCAAATGGTGAAGGAAAGAAATGACTCCTGCACTTGTCTTCTGACCTCCACACATGTGCCCTCCTGCTCCCTGACCAGGGAAAGAAAGAGTGACCCATGCCACAGCTGGGGTGTCGTGCTGTCTTCAAGCTTCCTCCACCAGACAGCTTAGTCCTTGGGGTTAGTTAAGAATGCTGCTGCTGTTTCCAGCACTGGAGGAGAGGCCCACAGTCACCTCTAACTCCAGCTCCAGGGCATCCACTGCCTCTTTGCCATCTGCAGATACCTGCACTCACATAGCACACACACACATGAACACAAATAAACTAGATCTTTAAAAAAATAAAAAAATCTTAGTCCATTATTTTTTTCAAGTTAGGGTTTTTCTGTGTAGACTTGGCTGTCCTGGAATTGACTCTGTTAACCAGGCTGGCCTCGAAACTCAGATCTGCCTGCCTCTGCCTCCCAAGTGCTAGGATTTAAAGTGTGTGCCACCACACTGACTTTATTTTTTTATTTTTATGGCTATTTTGTGTGCATGGATAGCTATGTACCACTGCATGCAGTTCCTGCAGAAGCCAGAAGAGGGCATCAGATCTCCTGAAGCTGGGGCTACAGGTGGTACTAAACCTAGGCCCTCTGGAAAAGCATCAGGTGCTTTTAAAATATAAGCTATCTCTACAGCCCTTAATTCATTATTTTTAATTCATCCTCACATGATTTTTCAAGACATAGGAAGATTCCAGCCCTATTCTTGCCAAGATAGAACATAACTAGCTTCTAGCCTTAGTTCTCAGGAGAGTCTTTGTTCTCTAAAGCGTCATGAGCCAAGCTTCCAGTTTCTACATTTCTTTCACCTTCTGGTCTTCTAGAGTCCTATCAAAACGGCCCCGTAAGCTCTGTTTTCATCATTCACAGCTTCTCTAGCATACAGATCTAAACTCTTCCACATTCCTCCCATAAGCCAGTACTAGAGGCCTATCAGTCACACTGTCAGGTTTATCATAGCGATACCCCACCCCTCCTTCTGTGTGTTATATACTGATGTGCATGCAGAAGCCAGAGGAGGACCTCTGGCATCCTGCTCTTACCACTCTGTTAGTCCCTTGAGAAAGAGTCACTAAACCTGAAGTTAGGCTGGTGGCCAGAAGCCCCAGCGGACCTCCTTTCTCTATCCTCCATAGCAGCGGGGTTGCTGGTAGGCACAGCCCAGCTTGGTGGCTAGGGATTTGAACTCAGGTCCTCATGTTTGGGCAACAAGTGTTCTTACCCACTGAGCTGTCCTTAAGAACCAGCTTCATATGTTATGTTTCATGTTACTGTGACCAAAAAATATCCAAGGCAGCTTTTGTCTTTAGCCTTTAATGGCTGAGCTGTGGTGCCAGCCCAACAAACACAACTTTTAAGGAACAAAAGATTTCTTTTGTTCATGTTTTCAGGGTATAGTCAATTATGAAAGGGAAAACTTCATGGTGGGAATGTGAGGTAGCTGCTCACATTTAACCTATAATCAAAAAGTAAAAAAAGTTAAACACTAATTGGGGGTCCCCTTGCTTTCTCCTTTTTCCATTTTTATTCATTCTGGGACCCCCCAGCCTGTGAGATGGTGTCACCTAATTCAAGGTGGTCGGTCCTTCCTCCATTAAACTTTTCTGGAAGCACCCTCAGAGACCCACCTGTAGGGCTTTCTTAGTTGCTTACAAATCTAGTCAGGATGACAGTAAATATTAACCACCACAGATGTTGGATAACAAAACACAATACTTTGTATTGGTCTCCACTGGAAAGTACTGCCCAGGGCTTCCCAGACCTGGGGCACAAGTAACAAAACCTTACCTTCAAGTCTAAAATTCAGTTCAAAACCCAGAAAATCATTTGTTATTGAGTGACCATTTATATAGCTATCACTGTACTTACAACTAAGTAGATTGGATCCATGAAAAATAAAATATAATTCTGTATTTTAAGCATATAGCATATAGCCTAGCAGTGGTAGTGTACATCTTTAATTCCAGCACTTAGGAGGCTGAAGCAGGTGGATCTCTGAGTTTGAGGCCAGCCTGGTCTACAGAGTGAGCTCCAGAGGAGCCAGGGCTACACAGAGAAATCCTGTCTTGAAAAAAGGAGGAAAAAATGCTAAGCTCTTTTATAAGAATAGTAACAAAAAAATGATTCCTCTTTTATTTTTATATTCACTTCTCAGATAGAATTACCTGTCCTTTTCTTATGTAAAATATTGTCTTCTTTTTCTTAAGACACAGTCACATGTAGCCCAAGCTAGACTGGAACCAGCTGTTTACCATTTCTTATCATCTTGCTTTTACCTCGTTGGTTTGTTTATGTGGTGTTTATGGATTGCCATGCTTTGTTTATGTGGTGTTGGAGATGGGATCCAGGATCTCCTGTATACTAGGCAGACAAGAGCTGTACCAACTGTGCCACCCCCTAGACCAGTTGTTATCTTTTAAGAAGTGCAGAACTTCCTTGGTGACAGATCCTTGGCCGAGCTCTTGAAAGGTACTTGTAGGCCGGGCGGTGGTGGCGGTGGCGCATGCCTTTAATCCCAGCACTCAGGAGGCAGAGGCAGGCAGATCTCTGTGAGTTTGAGGCTAGCCTGGTCTCCAAAGCGAGTTCCAGGAAAGGCACAAAGCTACACAGAGAAACCCTATCTCGGGGGGAAAAACAAAAAGAAGAAAGAAAGAAAGGTACTTGTGAAAAAGTCAGAGTTAGTGATTTGTGGCAGACATAGTACCAAGGCTCAGAATAACTGTTTCAGACCCTGACAGGGATGTTATGTAATATGCTGCATATAAAGTCTACAAAGGTGGTAAATTTCCCAATACATCTGGTCCCAAGAATTTATGGCAAAGAATATAGGAATTTACACATTTAGACAGAAAAACATTTCTAAAAATGTACAGATAGGAACGATTGTTGACTCTCAACATGACCATTGTCTTCCTCCTGTCTCAGTGATACAAACGAAGTTGACATCCCCTTGAATACCAGGGTGGGCACCAAACGCTACATGGCTCCCGAAGTGCTGGATGAAAGCCTGAATAAAAACCATTTCCAGCCCTACATCATGGCTGACATCTATAGCTTTGGCTTAATCATCTGGGAAATGGCTCGTCGGTGTGTTACAGGAGGTAAGAGCTTGAATAGTGTTCTTGATTATGTTTGTTGACCTGTCATTTACGAAGTAATTATCTAATTTATATGTCACCTATGTCAGGGTTTCCCAGGACCACCCTCAGATCCTGTGGTTTCACTAAAATTACCCTAAGACTCACACATAGTTGGCTTGGCTGCTCACATACATCTCACTGAAAAGACACCTTAAGGTCATCCAAGGGGAAAGGTGCCCGCCTAGAGAGGCTCCAGTAGCCTCTCTAGTGTATCGATGCTGGTGCTTAGCTCCTCTCAGTCAGCTGGGACTGTGGGACGTGGTCTCCTCACACCGATTGACTGTCATCAGAGAATACCGTGTAGTTAGTAGTGAACTACTCCTAACCCCTGGGGGTGAGGGCCTCAGTCACGTTCAGGTTGGGGATGAGAGGCCAGGGCTGACCTGTGTCCTTCTCAATGAGAGCAGTAGAGGGCCTGCTTTGTGAGCCTGTGCGCAGATCATGACCAGTCCTTCTCTGGCAGTGGAGAGTAATAGAGACGCCACTAGTAGGGACAAACAAGTCCATAGGTACTTACACTAAAAAATCTTATTTCTTCTCCTTCCTTTTGTGTTTAAGAGTTTCATTACTTGTAGCCCAGTCTGGCTTCAAATCACAGTCCTCTTATCTCAGATCTCAAGTGCCCTACCCCCAAAAGAAACACTATACCTTGTTGAGAAACTGTCACCCTGTCAGAGGTGGGGGAAATAATGGGTCATGAATAATAGAAAAACGTGTGTTTACTGTTAAAAGAGAACCATCCAGGGTATATTTCTTCTTTATGTACAAATCCATTCTTAGTTCCATAGTTCGGTAAGAGGTGCTGTGTATTACACTACCATGTTTTTGCTCACTGGTTTCTCACTCCCTACAGGAATAGTGGAGGAATATCAGTTACCATATTACAACATGGTGCCCAGTGACCCATCCTATGAGGATATGCGTGAGGTTGTGTGTGTCAAACGCTTGCGGCCAATCGTGTCTAACCGCTGGAACAGTGATGAAGTAAGTTGGAGCCAAACCCCTGTAAAGTGATCAGGGAATGCTGTGTTACTCTATGCTCACCACACTCTCTTTACACTTCTCTTTAGTGTCTTCGAGCAGTTTTGAAGCTGATGTCAGAATGCTGGGCCCATAATCCAGCCTCCAGACTCACAGCTTTAAGAATCAAGAAGACACTTGCAAAAATGGTTGAATCCCAGGATGTAAAGATTTGACAGTTAAACAGCTGTGAGGGAGAATCTAGACTGAAGAACTCCACCCAAGGAATGGGTGGATTAGCATGGACTAGGATGTTGGCTTCATTTTCAGACTCTTTCCTCGCCACATCTTCACAGGCTGCTAACAATAACCCTTTCAGTACTCTGCAGAATGCAAGATTGGAACTTCCAAACACGTCATTCTTTCTATACAGACAGGACAGCTTTGTTTGAAATGTTTGGGTTTTTATAAACTGCATCAAGAGTCCAATCCTGATAAGAAGCTTCTGGTCTAACTCTGGGTACTCAGTATCCAATCCATAAAGTGATGCTTTCTGTGAAAGCCTTGAGAAAATGAATGAGCTCAGCAGAGATGGAGAGACATGTTTGCCTTCTGTCAGAGAAAACATCTTTTTGTGTTCTGTCTTTGTAAACAGCCTATAGATTGTGACCTCTTGGGGATACTGCCTGGTTATGACGCTGCGCCATGCTTTAATCTGCACCCCAGAGTTCCTCGGCGGCCGGGGGGCTAAGAAGAAAAGCATGTGTGGCTGTGTAGGAGGGACTGTGGCGGTGGTTGAAACATGCAATATCTGATCAACATTCACCAGTCTCATACAAACCGTCTACCTGGTAACTGTAGTCACTTCTCCACCAACTTTATTTTTAACACAATAGTTGTAAAGGCCAAATCAGTTTAAAGTGTCCATAAATTTGGACTGTGTTCTTCTGTCACCATTTTGTTTTCTTTTTTGGTAATTTTTTTTTTAAATGAAACACCTCCTGTCCAGAGTTGAAACTCCCTGCTTTGAACCATACTTTGAAAGAAAATGCCTCTTCCTGGAGTCAGCCTTACTGTATCTGATAACGATGTGCATGCCTGTGATCAAATTCTGAAGTCTTTGCCCTCAGTACATCTTAAAAAGGGAAGTTGTTTATCATGTGTAATGCGCTTTTATTTTCAAAACCTACATAATCATCTTTCTAGCCATATTTTACATACATACATATATACATACTTTTCTTCATTCTATACAAAACAGCTCCCATGGATCTCACATCCGATCCTCAATGGGGGAGAATGTTTTAAAGTAGAACTAGGTGTGAATTTCAGAATTCATGCATTTAAAAACTTCACTAAGATATTGCATCATTCTTCTTTTATGAAGGATGTCAGCTAATATAAATTTGTCAGTAACTGGTAAATGTATTTTAGATACCTAAATCTTTTGAAATTTGGTTTTACAGTTTCTGGTCTCTAACTTGTGGAGACAGAGTCAGGCAGAAGAGCCTAGTATCTGCTCACTGTCCATATCTGCACTGAACTGCTATTACTAAATACAAGGATTCATTTTTATAGAGGCCTTGTTATCTCAAAGAACAGTTCTGGTTCAGACTTACATGCTGATACCATACTATTTAAACGTTTATTCTGAGCAAACAAGCCATGAGAGGATCAACCGACATTGTCTCTTTGAATGAAACATAAATTAACATAGTCAACCGTTTTAAATTAAACGTTTGGGAGGCTGTCCATCTGCTCATTTATGACTAAATTTAATCTAATACCTGCACATCATATTCCACAAGTTTGAGGTTGGTTTTGGCTGTTTTGTTTAATGGGTTTCGTCTAGTCTAACCAAAGCCTGAGAACACAGGAGATCTGAGTTACCTGAGCCAAGTTTACCTGGATATAGTTTTGCCTGATGACACACCTAAGGAATGGCAAACTTCATTCATAGGTGTGCTTAAATGGTGTGCAGAGGCCACTGTAATGACTCTTTTCTAAGTAGCTTGGTCTGAAGAAAGGGGCCCACAGAACTCTAGTTACTGCCTTCCCAAGCTGCCTTTCAGTACACTCATTAGAAACAGTAACATTCTTTAAAAGGCAAATGCTGCTATAATCCTCATTTGGAATCCTAAAATCTAAAGTTGAATTAAACTTATTTTTCCTCTCCTCCCTCTTACTCTTTTAAGTTTGAAATTCAGTAAGTGAAATAGTTAAAGACTGTCTCAGCCCTTGGGGCCAGTGAGAGGCTCGGTGGGTAAAGACGTTTGCTGCTGAGCCTGCCAGCCACAGCTCAATCTCTGGGACACGTGAAAGGAGAGATCTGGCTGCCCCATAATTGTCCTCTGACATCCACATACTCTGTGGCATGATTCCCCACCCACCCACACACACACATCATGCACTCCACATATTCAAACACAAATAAATGTAGTTTAAAAAAATATAACCAACTGGTAAAAGAAAGTATTGTGTAGTTACTAATTAATAACTTGTAAAAATCTGTAAACTCATTTGGTCCCACTAACACCAGCAATCCCTTTAAATGACTAAAATATGAGAGCCAAAACCCAAACTACCTAAATAAATATCAAATGATCCAGAAAGATGTCATGAGTGGCTTGTATGGCCAGGAGTTGCTGGTGGTATGGAACATGTTAAGATTTGCCACAACTTGAGTCTCTGAGACTTCATCAGCTCTGAATACAAAATCTGAACTGATTTCTCTGGAAATATTGTAGCAAAAGATATTTTAGTCAGTATGTTATCCTTCTCGTGTCCAGAAATGTTCCTAAGTCTATAGTGACCTATTGCTTTTTATCAGCTGTTGTCCTGGAATGTGCTGGTTTTCATTCATTCGTTCTAATGATATTCAATACTTTTTTTCTTTTTAGATGTTTTTCTTGCTTAGTATAAAAAGACTGTAATTTTTAAGAACTATGCATCTCTGATTTGACCCAAGATCAAGTTGGATATTGAGTAGTCTATTCCAGGGCAGATTTCCTAAATGAAAGCACTTGTCCTTTCAGATTGTTTGAAGTGTTTCCAAATGTCTACGATAATTTTAACAGAAGTGTAAATGATGTAGACAGGTTATGTAGCCCTTGTGGTAATAACGCAGATTGACTGGGTCAGATATTAAGCAGCGACAGTTTGCTCTCCTCCTGGCTGTGAGGAGGTGGAGACCAGGCAAGCAGAGCCTTTTCCTCTGGTACAGTGTGTGAAGCCACAGGAAGGATCATCCCATAAGGAAAGCTTAGGAATATGGCTTTTGCAAAGACTTAGACATAATACTGTAACTTTAGGTTGTACTCTGTACTCTTTCAGTGGAATTATTTAAGCTCTTTAGTGACCTTTGTTCTTCTCACTTAAAAGCTAAAATGTAGTATATATTGTATAAAATGGAAATATTATAGCTTAGGGAAACTGTACATAAGGCATTGACAAGTTAAAGAGCATTTTTATTATGCAGTTGTAAAACACCAAAAATACAGAATCTTCTTTGATATGTAACACACTAAATGTATTTTGTACAGCATCTGATTTAAAAGGTGCCTTATTAAGTTTACCATTAATTGCTTTGTTCTATATACAGATTATGTCCAGTGTATCATTTTTCAGTAAATAACCTTATTTTAGTATACTTCAGTGATGTGTTTTGTGATGCTGTTCTTGGATTTATTGTGTATCAGAAGTCATCTGTTGAAATTTTATAGTAAGTAAGTCAGTGTACATATATACGTTCCTGAACGTGCATTTCTGCTTCCCAGAACCAGCATGGAACATGGCTAGGTAAGTGGCCGTACATTTTTGCCTTTATGTAGAGAGATGATGAACCTACTATAGTGAGGGGATTTTTTTCCTTCTATAAAAAAATAAAACATGGTTTTCTGGTTATAAAAATGTGTATTTATGACAGAACTTTTGGGAAACAGAAAAGAATAAAGAAGCAAATAAACTACTCCGTTTTATTGACAGACACACCATTTACATTTGATTGTCCTTTTTTTTTTTTAACTTATTTATTTTATGTACAAGAGTGCTCTGTTGACTTTATGCCAGAAGAGGGCATAGATGATTGTGAGCCACCATGTAGGTGCTGGGAATTGAACACAGGACCACTGGAAGAGCAGCCAGTGCTCTTAACTGCTGAGCCATACATGGAATGGCCTTAATAATTTCACCAATACATCTCTAGCCCCAGTATTTACATTTGGATGTGTCTCTCCTGCATTTTTTTTATAACAATAAGATTATGGTATTCCCTGTCAGAATGGCTGTGATCAAAAACACTAATGACAGTCAGTATTGGAGAGGATGTGGAGCAAAGGGAACACTCCTCCACTGTTGGTGGGAATTCAAACTTGTACAACCACTGTGTAAATCAGTATGGCGGTTTCTCAGAAAATTAGGAATCGAACTACCTCAAGACCCAGCCATCCCACTCTTGGGCATATACCCAAGGAATGCTCAATCATACCACAAAGATACATACTCAACTGTGTTCATAGCAGCACTATTTGTAATAGCCAGAACATGGAAACAACCTAGATGCCCGTCAAGCGAAGAATGGATTAAGAAAATGTGGTACATATACACAGTGGAGTACTATTCAGCAGAGAAAAACAATGACAGCATGAAATTTGCAGGCAAATGGATGGAACTAGAAAAAATCATTCTGAGTGAGGTAACCCAAACCCAGAAGGACAAACGTGGTATGTACTCACTCATAAGTGGATTCTAGATAAAAAGCAAAGAACAATCAGACTGCAACTCACAGAACCATGGAGGCTATATATATAGCATGGGGGACCCTAGGATGACTGGCTTATAATAAGTTTCGGTTTTACTCAATTACTGAGCAAGCCTCAATGAAACATTTCACTATTAAGATAAGAATTTATACTGTATCAAGCTGATAATAGAAAAATTAATTAATTTTAAAAAAAAGATATGGTATTCACTGGACAGAGGTGGTACATGCCTTTAATCCCAGCACTCGGGGAGGCAGAGCCAGTGGATCTCTGTGAGTTCAAGGCCAGCCTGGGCTATAGAATGAGTTCCAGGAAAGGCACAAAACTACACAGAGAAACCTTATCTCGAAAAACCAAAAAGAAAAAAAAAAAAAGATTATAGTATTTATTATATGTCAGTTGAAAGCACCATATATTGGCAGAGCATTGTGGTGCGTGCCTTTAATTCCAGCACTCGGGAAGCAGAGGCAGGTGGTCAGTCTGGTCTACAGATCAAGTTCCAGGACAGTCAGCCTACACAGAGAAACACTGTCTCAAGAAAAACAAAACAAAACACACCAGATACATTACTCCATTACATTCTACTCCCACAAAAGATGCCCTTAAACTTAGCTCAAGCAATCTTGTGCCTCCTAAGTATAGTGGGGACTATTGGTGCATACCATGGGATGCAGCTTTAGAAATACAAGACAGGTGTGGTGGCCCCTCTGGATTCTCTTAAGTTCAAGGCCAGCCTGGTCTACATAGCTTCAGGACAACCAGATTAAAAAAAAAAAGAAGAAGAAGAAGAAAACTTTAAAAAAAATAAGTATGTGACCACATAGAGGAAATAATTTATTTCTATGATCTCCTTTTGTTATTTCAATTATTTTTTCATTGTGGCCTTTCTTTTCCCAGAGAAGGGGTAAAACTGGGTCTTGCTTGTAGCCCAGGCTAGCCTTGAACTCTATGTATACTCCAGCCTTGCCTGAGCTGTATCTTCAGCCGCCTCACAGAAAAACACGTATGAGCGTCATTGCACACAAACCCTATTTTTTTGTTAGATCCCAAATACAGATATGTCCATTGCAGTTTTATTTGCAACAAAGGCAAGTTAAGGCTCTAATGTCCTGTCATCAAACATTTTCATTTGCACTGTATAGGATTATGGTCTCAAGGCTTTTTCATTCCCTTTGAGGAGGTCTTTAAGTGTCCTTACAGTGTCCGGCGGTGAGAAGGAAACCCTAGGATGGCTTCTTTTATCCCCCAATGCCTTATTTCCCACCTGCCAGGTACTGTTTGCACTAAGTTCCCATTTGCACCTTCTACTTTTAGGGAGCTAGACATGTTTCCATTTTAAAAGACTCAGCACTGGTTTATGCTATGTGACAGCGTGCTTAAACAGCCCATCCGTGTTCCTCAGGGAGCCCCCATTTCATGTGTGTAAAACAGTGCATTAGCTCCTCTTGTCAGGATGGAATTCTGAATAGAAATCCTCTAAATGATCTGCCAAAGAGGAGGAGCTGATCTGGGCTTGTTTGAGAGGCTGTCAGTCCACTGTGACAGGCATGGCAGCTGGGCTTGGTCCGCTTCTGTAGGAACCTGTGACCACCTTTTAGTGGGGGATCTGGAAGCCAAGAGCTGCAGCCAAACCAGAACCTGGCAACCCATTCAGGGCCTGCCTTCTGTTAGCTGGGCCACTGTCCACCAGGTCCCAGACTCAAAACCAGCTGGGAGATGGCTTGTTCATAAAGTGCTTGTCACATAAACATAAGGGCTGGGGTTCAAGCCCTGGAGCCCGTGTGAAAACCCAGACATGGTAGTGTGGGGCCTGAGATGTCAAAAGACAGGTCCCAGGCTAGCATCCCATCTCTCCTTAGCCCCAGGCCAGTGAGGACCAGGGTAAGCTGGTGGCAGACACAGCCGCTCACAACCATCTGTAACCACTTCCTGGGGACCAACACCCTCTTCTGGCCTCTGCAGCAGCACTGCATGCTTGTAGTATACAGACGTGCGTGCAGGCAAATGACTTTTTAAGATTTTTCTATGTGCATATATTTATATGTATGCACATAGACCTAGCATGGGGTCAGCCACTTCTCCAGCATTGGATGGGTTCAGAATTAAGCCCTGAGTAGCAATGACCCGGGTTTACGTTTTCACTTTCCTGGGGCTGCTGATGGCGTTCAGTGGTGGTAGAGCACTTGCCTACCAGGTATATATAGTATACCACATGTGTGCCTGGTACCCAGAGAGCCCAGAAGAAGGTGATGTATCCTTTGGAACTGGAGCTGCAGTGTGGGTGCTGTGAACCAAACCCAGATCCTCTGCAAATGAATACTTGGTTTTACAGTTGAACCATCTCCCCGGCACCCCCTTTTTATTATTCAGATGGGGTGCCTCAGATAGTACCTGGCCTCAAGCTGAGGGCCTCAGCTTTACAGGTACCTAGAACTAAAGGTGCCTACCTCAAAGCCCAGCTAGAACTCCTAGGAGGTAAATGTCTTCCAGATGTTTGCTCTATATTTATGGTTGGTTTGTTGTCTGTACCATTCTACCCTCTGATTTTAGCCAGTGTACTGATTTTTTTTTTCAGCTGCCAGATTTAGCAATTTTAAATTTCATTTGCAGAAACTTGCAAAGATACTATAAGGAATCCCATTTACTCTTCCTGCGGTTTTATTGACTTAACATTTTGTGTAACTGCTATGTGGGGTTGGGTTGGGAAGTCAACAGACTGTGCTTTTTCAGAGCTCTTTGAAGTGAGTGAGTGAGCTTATACCCTCTAAAGTCTTCAGGAATATTCTATTAACCAGTTATGTGCAGTGATCAAAATCGGGAAAGTCGACTTGACACTGTCACAATGGTCAACAATCCCATGACCTGCAGGCTTCATTCAGACTTCGCCAGTTCTAATCAAGCCCTCATGAGTGCGTTTTCCTGATGTATGTGTGCTGAATGCTCTGGATAGTGTAATGTGTTCAGTCCTTGGGTCCCCTGTACTTCTACAAGATAAAACATGGTTTATAGTACTTTTTTTCTAGGGAGGTGGACCTTGCTCTATGATTTCAAACTGATTTTGAGTTTGGCAATCTCTGTCTCTGCCTCCTGGATGTTGGCACATCTGTATGTACCAACGGTGCATCCCGGTGAGATACTCTGACTTCAGTGTGTCATTAATAATGTCGGTGGCAGCCACTTGTTTACCGTGTGTCTTAGGGTTTCTGCAGTTGTGATAAAGTATTGATACCAAAAGCAATCACAGCCCATCACTGAAGGAAGTCAAGGCAGGAAGCTGGAGGCAGGAATTGAAGCAGAAGTCATGGGGGAATGCTGCTCACTGGCTTGTTCCTCATGGCTTGTTCAGCCTGTTTTTCATTTTTTTTAAAAAATAACTTATTTATCCTTATTTTTTGTACATTGATATTTTGCCTGTGTAAGGGTGTCAGATCTTGGAGTTACAGACAGTTAGGAGCTGCCATGTGGGTACTGGGGATTGAACCTGGGTCCTCTGGAAGAGTAGTCAGTGCTCTTAACCACTGAGCCATCTCTCCAGCCCTGATTTTTGTTTTTTTAATACCATCCAAGACCACATTTCCAGAGGTGGTACTGCCTCCTGTGAGCTGGGCCCACCTACATAATCATTAATCAAGAAGATCACGACAGACTTGCCTATAGGCGAATCTCAATTGAGAGTCCCTCTTTTCAAATGACTAGCTTGTGTCAAGTTAACATAGAACCAACCAGGACACCATGAAGGCTTGTTTCTGGAAAGTTGATGTCGTGTTTGTATTGAGCACATTGTGGGGATGCTTTGGGCTACATAGGACTTGCATATCAGTGGTTGCACATTTCCTAATGCTGTTGTTATTCCATCTACAGTTTCCATTGACACTGTGGTGTGAGGAAGCGCTTGCCTTAGACAGCTTTTCTGTATGGACTCCTGGGTTCCTGTTTATTGGGTTATATTCCATTAAGTCATTGTGGTTTTGATGCTCACATTCACCCACACTTGTCTAATTGACACATGCCCATCCTATTTTGAACATTTCTTATTTGATACATTGGGAAGTTCTAAGCTCCGAGCATGGGGTCAACCGTTTCTCCAGGGTTGGATGGGTTCAGAACTAAGCCCTGAGTAGCAATGAGTCTGGTTTATGTTTCTACTTTCCTGGGGCTGCTGATGGCGTTCAGTGGTGGTAGAGCACTTACTTGCTTACCAGATAGGAGGCAACACAAATTTTTAGAAAAGG